ATTTGTAAGACTAACCATAAAATTGTATTATTGGTTTACAATATTTATGTGGAGTTGTGGTTGTATTCATCGTATCACAAATATTCTGATTCGCATATATATTCAATCAGTTGTGCCATCCAACAAAATAAATTATCTTAATTAAGAGTGCATGTTATCTTTGGTAAGCATTGTAATCAGAAGGGGATACGTAAACAGGATTTGGATAAAATAATAGAAACAGTTGTTCATAGAGGTTGAGTATGGTTTTGGGCAACCATGAATATGTAGGGTAGCACTAATTATCTTTGGTATTGAAAAGGCAAATGATTGAAAGGTTTCAAGAGAAATGGTTAATCATTCCATAATAATAACAAGAATAACTACACAGGAAGTGCTGTCAATTTAAGCCTTTAAGAATAACCAGTAATGGTTCGATAACCAAGAGTAGATGGGTCAAACTTCTTCACTTTGAGAAATCAGTGTGTTAGATAATTATATCATTATCTTCTTAAGCATCATTACTATCACCTTAGAGTAAACTTGGCCTCCACAAAGGTTCTTACAGTAACTAGTTGTTATTTTGTATATCATTTCAATAACTAGATTAAGAAGATACCAAGAATATTTGGTGGTGCATCCCATTATAAAACTGCTTTCACTGCTTAGAGTTGGAAACAAACACGTGGGGCGTATGTTACCTTTTAAAGTTCTTACAAATTCTATTCAAAGGAGAAAAGGTAAATACTGAATCATCCGAGAAAGCCATCTTTCGTCCCATATCCTGAATCTACAAGTTGGGATTCAAGCATCACTGCATGTACAAACGTGCCTTTTCTCTTAAAGTGTTTGTATCGTATTGTGTATGTGCCTTTCAGGCACTGTAAGGATTTAACTTTTAAGATACTATCTCCAGTGACTGAACTCTTGTTGTACAATAGTTGTTGCTTGCGTCCACATAAATGTTTTTTTACTTTCGTTTAAGATTACAGATTATCTGGTGTTCCAGATCCTTCATTAACATGTTCTTTTTTACTTTGCTGTTCTTTGCACTTTAAGTTTTACCAGTAATCTGTACAGACTTGGTTACAGATGCATTGTCAACTATCACATTTCTTTCAAAGGCGTTAGATCCTAATTAAAAGAAATTATATCTGAAGTATGGCAGATACACAAACACAGAGAATTTGGACAAAAAAATCACAAAAGCTGTTGTCCAAAGAAGTTCAACTGACGTTTGACAGCCGTGAATCAGATGGGAATAAGATGGTAAATGACTTCAATGTTTAGTATGTAGACTTGACTATTCACAATAAGGGCTTTGTTAGGTTGCTAAGGGAACAAGAGAGTTTTTGTCCTGACGTATATGTATAAATTGATACCGAAAAATATTCTTTAATTGCTATAAATCACTATTAGCTGATTATTTTGAGGTTCGAAAAGTTAGTAAAAAATAAATAAAGGTAATATGTTATCAATACTTGATTTATGATAGCTTGCGCTTATGATAAAAAAGTGTATCAGACGAATATGTCAATGGCTCCATCACCCAAGTTTAATTACTCGAGCATTCATCTTTCCTTTCACACAGACTTGATTTTCGCCTAGTTATTCCAAAACCTAACTATTTTGATAGAGAATTGTCTTTTATTTATATTCGAATTTCAACTCATTGTAGAAATATTTTGCTCATGCTTTATATAAGTGTACTAGCCCCATCGTCGTTGATTGCCAGAGTCAATATCCTAATACTAGTCAAACATTCATAATTTATATAACTTGCTTTGAAGAAATCGTGGAGCTCTCTTGATTAACATGGGAGAAGAACTTAAATTTTGAGTTTCTATAACAATAACGTGAACACACGTTATATTTCTTTGGTGGTTAATAAATAATTTAAGAGTTAATTTACCTTAGCGATGCACTCATGTGTGCTTTGCGTTACAGCTATACATATATATACGTTACACTGCTTTCACGACTAATACGTCTATTTTAACTGTTTTAAATTGTCTACGTTAGGCATATCCACGAGTAAGATGGATAAATAGACTAAATAAGTGAAAATTACCTAAATGGCCTCAGATACACGAATCCTTACGGTCTCTGAAAAAAAGAAAAATATCGATTATGTAGGAAAACTAACAGATGCTAAATTTGTTGTAAGTTATTAGTGCTTATTTGGAAAGCTTTGAATTAAACAAATAACAATAGTTTAAATTTGAAATTAGTACTTTAAGTACGGAGTGAAACAGATGTAAAAATGTAATTGTTTGTAATTAAGCACAAAGCTACACAATAAGCTATCTGTGCTCTGGCCACCACGGGTATCGAAACCGGTTTCTAGCGTTGTAAGTCCGCAGACATGGCGCTGTGCCACTGGGGGGGGGGGGGGACTCACGAATTCGAAAATATCAAGTTTTGTGTAAAATCGTTGTTATTACATAATTGACCGAGTCGCATATTAGAAAGTTTCAGGATTATATTTATAAATAATGTTACCAATTACCCATGTAATTGAAACCCTAAGTGTCTGGAAGTTTCGCAATTAAATATATAATAAATAATTTTGCGCTGAAAACAAAAACTACTCAGCCACTATCTCCCACTAAGATGCAGTTTCGTTTTCCCAAAATTGCAAATAACACTAACTCCCTGAACATAAAAGAGTAAAACAAAGGTTACTTCTACACGGCATTCACAAGGAGTAAGACCAGCATTAATCTTACCCCACATCACTTCTACATGGCGTTCACAAGGGGTAAGACGAGCACTAATCTTACACCAGGAAAAATAAAACAAACATTACTTTTTCAAGGAGTTCACAAGTGGTAAGACGAGCATTAATCTTACACCACATCAATTCTACATGTCGTTCACAAGGGGTAAGACGAGCATTAATCTTACACCACATCACTTCTACATGTCGTTCACAAAGGGTAAGACGAGCATTAATCTTACACCACATCACTTCTACATGTCGTTCACAAAGGGTAAGACGAGCATTAATCTTACACCACATCACTTCTACATGGCGTTCACAAGGGGTAAGACGAGCACCAGGAGAAATAAAACAAACATTACTTTTTCATGGCGTTCACAAGTGGTAAGACTTGCATCAATCTTTCACCAGGAGAAGTAAAAGAAATGCCATACCTACATAGTTTTTACAAAGGATGAAACTAGTATTACTCTTACATCAAGAGGAGTAAAATAAATATTACTTCTACACAGCGTTTACAAGGGGTAAGACGAGCCTTACCCTTACACCAAAAGGAGAAATATATATATATCACTAGCCAAAGAATAAAGAAGACATCATTCTAATTTCACGATAAAAAACAAAAACCTCGTTTCTCTTCTTTCACAGTATAAGTAATGTTTTTCTTCCACTACATAAGGAGTGAGACAAATAGTATACCCATTGCATTTAGATAGTGAATAAGGAAAAGTTTCCTTTAATCCTGATCATAGAAATTAAAATAAATTACGCTTCAACGCCTGTAACGAAGGGATAAAAAGAAACTCAGTCTTACTGACTTTAAATTAGGAATAAATCACAATTCGCGTCGTATTCTGTACACAAAACGTAAAATAATCATTCATGTTTCACGCACACAAGGAATGACATTATAATCATTTTATGCTATATGCAAAAGAAATAATATAAAACTGTCAATATTTCATGAACACAAGAAGTAATACAAAATCATATTTGCTTTATGTGCGCCAGGAAAAATACAAACACACTCGAATTTGAAATGAGCAAGAAGTAACCCAGAAACATAACTTACTCAACAAAAATTAAAAATATAAAGATCTTTATTCTCCTACGTACATAAGAAATCCAGTCAAAAGACTGCCTTATACAAGGTAAAAAAATTCCCTAGTTCCTCTATGCGGGAAGAAAAGAAATATAAAGATATTTATTCTCCTACGTACATAAGGAATCCACTCAAAAGACTGTCTTATACAAGGTAAGAAAATCCCCTGGTGCCTCTATGCAGGCAGAAAAAAAAATTCAAGACGTTTAATAACCCGATTCTATTTCATGCACACTAGGAGCACGTTAAAATTATATTACTTACCGTACAGAAGAATTAAGGCAATGATTACCTTCAAAGAATGCAATACAAGTACTTAAAGAGTATGTCCATAACCTATATAACATCATTTGAACTTCTAGGATAATTACATTTAAAAAAGAGTTATCCTAGCCATTTTAAGCAAACCGTGTAAAATACCAATCATTCTTAAAGCTCAATATATACATATATATATATGTTTCCTTCTCAGTTATTCGGAGTTTGTATTTCTGTATTTCGCGTCCAGTAAGATCTAATACTGCATGTTTATTATTAGCAGTGATAATGCCTCACGCGATTGATTATCTACGTTTAAGTAGCACAAAGCATTATAGGAAGTTTTAATCCAGGATTATCAAAGAATATCGCTTCAGAATTTAATTTCCTCAATTTAGCTTAATGCCATGTTTCGTACACAAACTACAGAATACCTATCATAACCTAGTATTGTATCTATTCATTTTCATGTCATTCACCCAACTAGCTCCATTACTCGTAAATCTGTCGTTTAGACCTTGCAGCTCTTGCTATTTGCCATTTGTAAATAATACATTATATAAAAGATACTGCCCGACACGAGCGCGTACGCCTGCCTGTTATGCCTTTCTGTCTACCCACCCGCGTGCTGCGAGTTCCACGCACGGGCCACTCGCGCTGCCTCATCCTCTCGTGTCACGCGCGTAGCTTCCACGCGAGAAGAAAAATTGAGCGTCTGATCTCTGTACCGCGCTGCGCATCCCCGAAGCAACACCTGGTAACTTTCCCAAAGTATTTAATTCGTCTGATGACATGCTGGCGCACATAAAAGCAGAGACTGGTTAGCCACCGTTTCCATTTGTATAAAATTTAACTTTTTGGTCAGTTGCGGAAGTCGTCGGTCTGTGCTGCTGCTCGTCTCTTTGAAAAGTTTTCTCTTTTTAGAACTTTCCACCGAACGGTTACAATTTCACTTCTTTTTCATTCACAGATCGTAGGAACTGATACCATATAATCAGTTAAACGCTGTCTGCCTACTTAAGTTATACTCCCTTCAAACATCTATCGCCATCTTCCTAATGGGTAAGCCTCTCCATGTCTTATTCTTTATAAAACCACTACTTTTAAGAGGTCTAACATCGGATATATATTTCTATAGCTTTTATATTCTTATGAAACACGAAGTAAGAACTTGTTTAAAAAACATACTAGTTTACATTACACCATAATACATACCCCACAGTTTAGAGTGGTTTATCTTTGCGTATTACTTATTTCAATTCATCTTACAAAAATAATAAATACTTTTCACTATAATTACTTTTATAGGAAATAAAAAATGGACGAACTTAAGATCTGATAAAATACGATAACGAATCGGTTGAAATTTTAACTGCGTATTTTTACAAATGAATTACACAATTACCCTGAAGAAATAGCTTTTGTTTTCAATCACTTTATCCACAACGAACATGATGAGTGTTATTAATATTCTTATAGCATCTCTTTTCTGTTAAGACTGACATATTTAAATGCATATAAATACAAGGTATTAGCATGGGTAAAACTTGCCATTATAAAACTGTCTTCACTGTTGCAGTAATTTGCAAACGCTTCAAAATACATTAATTTTAAGCTGTTTGTTACTACCTGCTGCAAAGTTAACTAGTGTACCTTGTGTTACAGAGACTTAGGTCTGAGATCTCTTAGCAACGCCTCCTTTAGTATCTGAGTTACAGCTGGTTTCAATCAGACCTAAAAATATGGAGAAACGTAAGTATACTTATGGAATATTTAAGAGAGCACAGTAACGCAACGTAAAATAAGCATAACATAAATATCCCTACTATGTGTAATTTCATGACTATGTCGTTTGTAGCATTAGCTAGAATTATATATATATAATATTTTACTCACCACAGTGAACCCACATTTGTATAAGATTTGTAGAATATTTGGGATTGTTGCTGCTAACTTATTTTTCTGATTTATTCAACAAACAAACTATTTAAAATACTCAATATATATATACTTCAAATCCTATATAAATATAGGTTTGCTGTGTTGAATAAAATATAACCAAACATATACATTCTAACACAATAAGAAACTTTGTCTTGTCCTTTCGATTTATTTCTGTCCAGAGTTACCGATGATGGTGGAATTCACCGAAACCGGTATAACTCAGTCACAACCGAAATAATAGATTAGACTTCAAGCTTACTTTTAGTTTATAGTAAAATGTTTGTATTTTCTTTGATGTCTCATGCTTTCATTAGCACATTAGCTAACATTCGGATTTATCACTTATTCATATTGAGTACGTTTATTGTAATCATACACGTGTTATTTGTTTTAAAATGTATTTATAAGTTCATAAGTTCTGCTAATACAAAGCAAGGCGTGTTATATAGATAAATAAGTTAACACTAAATAGCATTATGTTCAGTTTTACACGTTCAATTTAAATTCTTAAAATACATCTGTGTTTTCGAATCATTATTTTCTATGTACATTGTTCTTAAGATGACTATTAAGACTTAAACATATTAATAATAATAACTTCTGATAAGAGTAAATTATGTACTTAAATCAACCTTGCCATCCGTATAACTAATTAAAAATAATTTTCTCACATTTATGCGTACAAAGATTAGAATGCATTGTTTCATCAATGGCGTACCTTCGCTTTCAACGAAACTGTCGGCCGTAATCCCAATAATATCTCACGAGATTCGTGTTATTTATATAGAAAGGTCAGTAGTTCATAAAGAGAACGCGTGGATGGTGTCAGTATGAACAAGATAATATGTTTAAACACCGAGTCTTTATAATTATTCAGTTGCTAAAAAAAGCAGTTATTCTATTTAGTTTGTTTTTTTTATTGGAAGTGTGATTTATTTCTGAGTGGTGTATTTTGTATTTCTGAAAATAAATTTCCTGGTGGATATAGCAAGTATGCATTTAGAAATGCGGCAATGAAAGGGAAAGTTACGACTATTTACCCAATTACAACAATGTAAGGTAAAAATAACTCTCACATCAAAAATATTTTTATCTATTGCTTTAAGACTATTGTTGTAGGTTAACGTGCAAACTTTTCATCTTGATCATCGCCGTTGTTTTAAATACGTTATCAGTAAGAGTGGTAAACCCCTGTGCAAATGTTTCTTCCGTGTTTCTAGAACTTCAAATTAAGACTATACGTCCTCCATTCCTAAAAGGGTTTGTCTCAATAATTGTAAAATAGTATCATTCTTACATAAACATATTACAAATACTTTGTGTTTCTCATTGGACCACTTTCAGCTAAAGCTGTAAGAAATAACGAACCTTTATTGACATCTAACTGTAAATAAACTATCCATAATAAACTATAAAACGAATTAGTTATTCGTTGACATTGTATTTTTGTGTTATATTCTGAGACTCATAATGTTTTTAGAATGTTGTATAATAATTTGACAATGGAAAGCGCTGATACACAAAAACCACTAAGTCAGTTTCACTTGTAGTCACAAAAGGTAGTGGAAACGTTACTTATACAAGCTTCCGACAAGAAAGTCGAAACAGGTAAGCCAGTTACGCTGATTCGTTGCACTATGCTCTATCGCACGTTGGACGAAAGCATTTTTCTATCAGAGTTAAAGAACTTTACTTGACTTTCAAACTTTAAATATATTAATGTGCGTGAACTTCTTTATTAGTTTCGATTGGTTCAAAGTGTGACTCCAGATCACTTAAAACTACTTTAATTGAAAACAAAAACGAGTTATTTCGTACATTTTAATGTACTTTAGGCTTTAATAAAAATAATTTTAGTTAACAGATACATTTCCTTTTATAAGTATGCCGTATCATTAAACAGAAAGGAGTTTGTAAATATCTGTTTAACTCGGAATTTCTAAGTTTACTTTTTTATTTACGCACACCTTCATATTTTTAAGGTGTTTAAATCTGTATATATGATTTTTTTCGTTTTATATTATGCAATGTAAAATACATGGGCACAGAAATGACAAAACCTGTATTACAAACAATTAACATCTGTGAGCTGAATATATTATATATTTGTTATTTCAATGTATTTTATCTTGAGGTTACGGGAAATATATGTACTGGTGGTAAGCGGCTCTTTTGTAATTTGTTATGTTTTTACATGTCGTATGTGATACAGTATTATATATACTGAAGTAGAATCCATTGTTAAATAGTCAATTTGACAAATTATTTTATATGTATGGCAGTATATATTATACACTAGTGTAAAAACAAAATAAAGAAGCCGCTTAATACTACCACATTTCCTTTGAGAACGATGCTGTTAAAGCAGTTGTGTTTTTCTGATGTCTCATAGCTTCATAGCTAACATTCTGATTTCATTTATCCCACGTTAAACAGAAAGTCGAATGCGCTGATTCGTTACACCATGCAGCTTTACTTATATAATAACATGAGAGGTGGAATTCTCGAAACCGATATAACTCAGTCAATTTCACTATCAGTCATAATAATTAGTCGAAACGTCAGTTGTACAATCTTCTGACATGAAATCCGAAATAGTGTTTCTTTCTTATTAAACACTAAAATAGCTTGAAATAATGAGTATGTCTTATATAGTGTTTCTTTCTTATTAAACACAAAGCTACACAACGAGCTATCTTTGTTCTCCCCATCGCAGGCATCGAAACTAGCTTTTTACCGTTATAGCTCCTTAGACTTACCGCTGAACCACTGGGCACCTTTTCTGTAGTGTTTTCTGTGTAGTTAAATAAAACAACATAGATGATAATTGTATGCTTTCCTTTATTCATAATTTATTACGGTATATTCTTGTCGTAACTATGAGTTATGCCTTTTTGCTCTTGAAGTTAGATTTTGGTTATAATAACGACAAAACGCATACTGAACAATAAGCAAATAAATAACAATAGAATATTTTAAACTACATAAGTAATACGGGAATAACAAAGCTGGCCACATTTGTGACAGACCTGTGACCATTGTTAGGAGAACTCAAAGACGAAAAAGAATGTTTATAGATGTGTGTTCAACATCTCCAAAAATAAATAAGATGGAAGTTATGTACTAACCAAGTAGGCTGATGTTTAGTGCAAGAAAAATTTGTAAATTCTAAAAAAAAAAAGTTAGAAGCCGTATTCAAAGTTTTCGGGAGAGAGTTTGGTCAAAAAGAAATTTATATATATGAACCCGTTGAAACTGTTAGTTTATAAATAAAGATGTATTCAACATGGCTGAAATACAAATCATATTGTATATGGAATCGTGAAATCTAACATATATTATTATATATAAGGATTAGGAGAATATGATCGATGACGCCTTACTTATTTCCTAGTTAATATGAGCTCAGAATAAATTACAATGGAGCGTTCTAAAAAACATGGTGTTGTGGTGGGTATGACGGTTAATCTTTGTGGCAAAGAAGAGGGGTGCCCAAACAATAGCTTGGAATACCTGAACAACGATGAAGAAGGACTATGAGAAGAAACTAGCCAAAAATCCATGTTGTCCAATGGACGCAGGAGTAATGCAGCGGGAATAACGAGTCGTCTGATTGATGGGAATAGTTGGGAATGATTTTGTAATGATTGCGAATTCCTGTCCATTTATGCTACCGTTTCCTTTTTTTTTTTGTGGTTGAAGTAAAACAGTCCATATTGTTTAAAAATTGGCTTGTTAAAACAAAGCGAGAGGTATCTTTATAGCAAACCCTTGTAAACGCATTTCAATACACTGTCGTTAGATTAAACGCCACTTGTTGGTAGATGTCCAGAAGTTTCTTATTCGGGTTTCATGAATATTCACTGTATTAGCTATTACTGAAATCTGACGTTATAGTATTTATGCTTCTTTTCAATCAAATAAAAAGGGAATATGTAAAATTAAATGCTAGTTTTATTGGTGTTACTCGTCTAATATTGTGTAATGATAACGGTGAAAAAAGAACGTAATGTAACTGCTCTTTTAAGAAACTATTTTGTGAAAGTGGTCCCACACTGTAGGTTATATGTAAATATGAAAATGTTTAAAATAGCTTCATCCAACTAAAATCGTTTTGTCAAAACCTTGCATATTTGTTTTTCTTTCATACAACTATTTTTTTTCCAAATTTTTTTCTATTACTTCTAATAAAAGTTAATTTGAAGCGATTCGTAATAAATTCTGAAGTAGGGTCATTTAAAGAAAATTGAAATTTCTGTTTTCTATAATACTGAATTGGAAATTAGGGTTAATTGAGATTAACAGAGATCACTATAAACAGTTTAAGTAAAAAACATGAATAAAAGTTTTATAAATGTAAGTTAATGAAATGGAACAGAATTACTATCTTATTACAATCGCACTTAGTACATTCTTCAGTACAATAGCACTTAGGTAGAGTCTTCAGTACAATCGCACTTAGGTACAGTTTTCAGTACAATCGCACTTAGGTATAGTCTTCAGCATTGTTAAAGAACGTGTCAGTTAAGGTTTGTGTAAGTAGAATTTAATGTTATCATAGGTGAATGAACACAAGAAAGGCATAGCCTAGCGGAATCTAATTCAGCCCCAAATATACTCGATCTTTTAGCCGTGGGGGCGTTATAATGTGGCAGTCAATCCCACTATGCGTTTATAAAGAGTAGACCTAGAGTTGACGGTGGGTGTTGCCGGTCGGGTGCCTTTCATGTGGTCGTACTTGAAAATTATGGACGGCGGCAAATAAACTTGGTAGCTTTACCCAAAACAACTAAAAGAATGCAAGGAAA